AAGAAACAAGAGTATTCATCATACCAAAATATAGAGGGCACTGTTTGCTATTCAGTCAATTTCAATGTGACGGCTGCAGCACCAGAAGCAACCAAGGCTCCTCCAGGAGTGAAAGCACACATATGCACATGCTCTATTTTACCCTAATGGAAAACACAAATGAAAACATTTTTCGTCAAAGAGGTTATAGACTGATTTGATAATTATTTTTTTGTCTCACTTTTATTTTGAATTCATTTCATTAATACAGAAAATGATAAAAAGTGAAAAATTTGGATTTTGTTTTTGCAGTGATCATATTTGCTAATGTATAAAAGAAATTGATGTGATCCTGTACTGCCTGAGAGAATACTTCGCAGTATTCTCGTGATAATGTTTCCCTGCTTGCAGCCACAATTTAGTGAGATATATCGGCCCAAAATGCCAGTGAAAACATTTTCGTGACATTCAGGGTCCAAATGTCTGTTTGTGCTCAGTGATGTCATTGTTGCTGAATCGCATTTGTTCAAATATTTAAATAACGTGAACAGAACATCAGTCTAGCTCTATCAACTGAAACAGCCAGGACAATTGATGATATAAACTATGGCAGATCCAGTGACTAGTACTGGTAGTGCAAGTATGCCCTCTAGTGGCAAAGCTTCAAATCTGAACATCCAATCAAATCTTTATAACCGCTAACAGTACCAGTATTTCTGAGAATACCTCAGTAAATCGTAAATCGCTTCATTTTCACAAGAAAAATGTTCGCGAGTTGGGGAAAACCATTTTGTAGCATTGAACATTTCATTTGAATTTTTAAAGATGCAACATAGATGAAAAATCATATGTTTTTTTTAATATTGTTGTTTGATACTTCATACTGTAGACCAAATCGGATTAATATTTGTCATAAAAAGGTTTGCATTTGTAAGACACACAACAGTATTCATTGGATGAAAAATCAAAACCACTTATACAGATGTGCAGTGATGTTATTGTATGTATCAAAGCAAACGAAACGTAATGGAGAATTTACTGTACAACATGTTGAAAAAGCAACATCCAATTTTAGCGATAACGAAATGTTGATTTAGCGAATCTCTCTTGTCATTGTTGATTTCCTGTTTTCACAATACTTGTCTGTTGCGTGCCAAAATAAATGCGCAATTATCTCCTCCATAAAAACAAAGAAAAACTGTGTAATTAGGAAGTGCCCCAGATTGTTATGTTCCAGATTACTGTATACAAATCCCCAAGCCCTGGCCATTTTGAATTTATAATAAAGTCATTAGAAACATCTTAAATTAAAAAGACATGTTTTACAGTAATTCTTTCATCAACGAAAACTCAGATGTATGCTACAAGAACAGAATTTTCATGTCTTTATTAATCATATTCCAATGTATTTATCAATATACATTATCAAACAACAATTCTAAAAATTATATTTTCTCATAAATTAAGACAGCAAGCAGACTATCACATAATTTCATCCTTATAAATACCTTCAACTTAGTATACCCCCCGGTAACACCAAATATTTATTTATTTATTTATTTATTGATTTATTTATTGTTGTTTTAAACATTATACTGGTGTGTAATATTTTCACTGATTCTCTGTCATAAGTAACTTCAAGTGAATTAGTAAGACTCTAAAAAATTTAATTTTCAAGTTTCTGGTCATCAAGCACATCAATTCAAAATGTGCATGTCAAAGATTTTTTTTTATTGATTTTTTTTTATCAGAGTTATCAAAAAAAACAAAAAACATAAATTTTCATGAAAAATCAAAATAAAAGCACATTTTTTATGTCAATTTCAAAACAAAAAATATGTAAATGTGAAGTCAAATAACTGCAAACAAAATGGAAATACAGTGGCCCCTCGCTAAGTCGCGCCTCGGTAAGTCGCGATTCGGCTAAGTCGCGGGTACTTGGATGGCTCCCAAAATTTCTATTGTGTTTTGACGGCAGTTTTGAAGTACAAAGACTAATGTTTCGTGGCATAGTGTTTTTAACTAACCGTTAAAGAGACAACTTAACACCCACTGTCCGTCAATTGCTGAGACGAAATGGGTGACGGCGGCCTTACTCAAGGTGTCAACAGGGGTGTCGAGTAGTGACCGTACATACTTCTTGGCCGGTCCCATTTGGTATACCTCTAAAAAAACTC